ACTAACAACTATTTAAATAAATTATGCTATAATAAAATTTATTTTATTATTATTGATTGTTATATCTTATAAGTTACAATTTAATGATTTATGATCTTATGTATTATCATACTAAGGTGAGATTACTGGTAAAGTATTTGAAGAAATATTGACTAATTGATTATCTAAATAAAAATAATATAAAATAATAAAAACACATTAAATATTTACCTTCTAGCTTTTAAAGTCACTTTGTTTTATTTTGTTACAACATATCTCATATATTTAAATAACAAAATTTTTTTTTTTTTTAAATATATTATATAGATTTTAATATTTTTTTTATTATTTTTTAAGAAAATATAATATCAATATTTAAAATTTAAATAATAGGTTTGAGTTTTTATTTTATTTAAAAAAAAAAAAAAAAAAGCATTAACTTTAAGATATTAGATATTAAATTATCAAGAATAATGTTAAATTATTAGGATTTGCATTTTAATACTTAATACTTTAATACTTGATCAAATGATTTATGAAAAGTTTTTCTTATAAATATTAAAATTGAAATTAATGTGATGACAATTATTTATTTTGTAAAATTAGAGATAATGATTATATACAATTATAAATTTATTAGATAAAAAACCGTCAACTAATTTAATAGCATCCTCTTGCATTTATTAGAACGATTACTATTACTAAAATTAGTTAACATGCAGATCATTTTAATGAATTTTCGGATTCTGCCAAACAGCACATTTTTTATTTTTTTTTTGAGATGCCCTTTAGTAAAAGTTATATGAAAAAAACTTTCCTTACACCCATAAGTAATTAATTAGTTCACTTGATATATAGGATAGATGCATAAAGTTACAGGAAAATATTTAAGTGGTCATCCAGTCCCATGACAAATGCCATCACAAACATTGAAGAAAAGACGGGGAACGGTTTAACGTTGCCAAGGGGCTGGAAAAAAGAGAAAAAAAGAAAAAAAGGAAAAAAAAGGTTGAATTTTACGATTCCTTTTCTTCTTTTTTTTTCACGGGAGACTGTATGAAAGAAAGAAAGAAAGAAAAAAAAAGGTTCAACATAATGAGTTAAAAAAAAAAATAATAATAAAAAGAAAAAAAAAAAGGAAAAAAAGTAACATAATCCACAAAGTTTTACCGAGTAAAGTTTCTTAGGGATACAGCAGATTAAACTCAAAAAAACTGTAAACAACAATAATGATTACAACAATGTTACCAACAATGCAAATGAAAAATGGATTATCCTTTCAAGACAATATGATGTTTGTCTGGGACTCATCCTAGTGACATCACAAGTAAATAAGGATTCTATTAATCAGCAACGAACCATATCCAGTGAAATAAATTTTCGGAGAGATGAGAGAAGGGCATGAACATGCATTGGATTTTTATGGACATTTGCATGATCCAATACGCCTATGATATAATGAACACAGCGGAATCGGCACCAAAAAGAAAGGTGAGAGATCCTGCCCGGCGTGGTCTTAAAGGACTCGATTGATGAGTTTTGTATGGGAAAAGTCAAGAACGTACCTTTTTTTTTTTTGGAATCTTTTTTTTTTTTGGAGATACCAAAAATCGCAGATTTAAACATATTACTTAATATGAAGATTATTGCCGAAAAAGGAAAACG